CGTTTATACACAACTGCCCTTGTATCCGATCTGCCTAAACAGAAGATGATGGGTCCCCTTCTGTTTTTAACAGATGGAACCCAGAGGTGGGCGGGTGTAAATGGACAGAAGTCGTTTATATCCGCCTGTTTATTGGAATACATAGACCTTCAATTTTGGTCCACCTGAAAAACTGACCTGATTGGATCACCTGTGTGAAAGGGGCCTTAGAGCATCTGTTAATAAATGTGTAAACCATTTCAGGTGATTAATAGAACAGAAGTTATTTAAAATTAATGCAGCTTCTGACATGATCTTCCTCGGCTTTTGAAACTCTCCTATCTCAATCTTCTAGACATGACCATACACTTTCGCAGGTATACCAGATCTTACTGCGAGAGACATATCCAAATTCCCCTCCGTACCTTTCTAAATGGGAACAGGAACTGCACACATTGGCGGATGAATTGGTCTGGCACAAGATACTGGCTGTAGCATACAAATTACCTGTATTTATTATGCTCACGAGCAAAATTACAAGATCCTCTCTAGATGGTATCGTTGCACTATGATTTTGCATAAAATTGACCCATCTATCTCTGAGATTTGATGGAGATGCTTAGAAGAACCTGGTACCCATGACCCGTATTTGGGGCACTTGCCCGAAAAGTTTACCTTTCTGGGAGAAAATACTTAATTTGTTTAAAACATTAGTGGGAGACAACCAGGGGCGGACTGACAACTCATGGGGCCCCCGGGCAATAGGGGATCATGGGGCCCCTGTGTCCTTGCCCAAACTCAAAAAAGCCTATGAAAAAGGTACCAGGGGCATCTCATGGGGCCCCCTACTGACCCCAGGCCCTCGAGCAGTGCCCGAGTTTCCAAATGGTCAGTCCGCCTCTGGAGACAACATTCCAAATGAACCTTGGATTACCATATTGTCTATGCTGCCAGGTTCATATAAGCAAATTAAAAGAAGTCTCGTACGACACTTTCTATGGCAGCTCATTCTGTGATCGCCAGGCATTGGTGTCAGAATGAGGCTCCGTCTCTAGCTGAATGGACTTGTGAGGTTGACAAGATTGAATATATGGAATGGATAATTGCATGGGATGAGGATCAATCCCAATCATTCAAGCTTATGTGGACAGTGTGGTCTCACTTCAGATTTTCAACGGGGTTTGACTCCTTTATTTCAGTTTAGGTCAACAGTCCTTTTACTAATCGAATTCCTCATCCCCCTCATCACTCTCCTCCCCCCAAATGCAGGGTTTTTTTTTTTCTTCTGTCTTTCTCTCTCTCTTTCTTTTCTGTTTCCTACTTTTCTTTTGTCCTATCCAATAATGGTTTCATAGTATTTTGGTAACACTTATTTTACAGGGTGATTTGATATTTCGCATGCTTCCCAGATGATATCTTTCTTAATTGAATTGGATATGATAGCCTAATTTTTCCCAAGGTCTTGGTTATCTCTATTGAAAGATGTTTTGTGCATCATTTTCCTCTTCTACTGCTCTATGTTGTATTATATTGTGTTTATTATATGAGGTTGTTATGTTTTTGGCACAGTTATTCATATGTTTTTGTATAAATGCTACGTATTGCTGTACTACTTGTAAATACTTTATACTTACTTCATAATAAAAAGAGTTTAAACATAAAATGAATGCAGCTGACTTCTGGTCTATAAATTTTATAGAGGAAAACTACCAATTATCAGTTTGTTGCCTAATGTGGCATCTAACACATTGATAACGTATTTGATATAATGTAATATTTTTGTTTTATTTTAGTAGCCCTTCAGAAATATCTATGACATTTTCCTGTGTTGCTGTCTTTTTTCAAGTTAGCATATCATCACTAGGCCTTTTGTGAGTCAAAAAAAAAAAAAATGCACATTCCTAAGTTGACCCAGTAATGTGACCAGACAACAATAGGTATTTTATATGTATTAACAACAGAAGGTATTGACTACAAGGTTCCCACGGAGTCATAGAAAGGGCAGGTACATTTCCCCATGATACTGTGTTTTACATCATATAAATTGGATTTCTTTTTCAGTATGACTTGACTGCTTGGACTTTATCGCTGCACCACCAACTAACCTTTTATATCTTTCAGAGACTTCAGGGAGGAGCTTAGCTTCATTCACAACCTACCCTTACCAAGGCATGACTATAGGTGGAATGGAAGGAATTTAGCCATACATTTATATATGTAGCACTACCCACTTAGGAGTCGCTGAAGTTTTGGGTCACCCCTATAGTCCTGCCCAGCCAGGCAACACACATTCTTTCACACAGACTTGCTTTCAGGAGGCAGTAACCAGTCCTTGAGCTTGTTTTTTGGGGATTTTATTAGCGGAATTCCATTTGGATAGGGTAAGGGGTGTATGGGATGCACAAGGGTAATGGCAACAAAGGACACATTTTCCTGGAAAGTTACAAGCCTTTACAGCAAAAATTTTCTTCTGGAGAACTAACCAGCATCTCCTGGGGTACAACCCCAGACCCCAGATTCTGCCTAATCTAGCTGTTCTGGTTGAATCCCTGGGCAGGGGATCCAGTATCTGCCACTTTAAAAGAAGATAGTCCCGGGTAGTAAGCTAATCCAGTTTCTCGCCGAACTGCTTCTTCCCGTTACTGGCCCAGGGGGTGCAGGTCTACTCACTCAGTCCTTCTCCTATGCTGCTGGTGAGTCAGTGGCTGCTACCAGGCCTCCCTGCCTGTAGGTGAGCCCCTTCCCATCTGGGCTCCCTCCCAGGCAGGCTCCTGCTCTCCAGCCTCACTTCTCCATCTTCGACCAGAACTCTCCTGCTGCTGAGCAGGCTCTGTCACGCTTAGGGGCTGTCCTGACCCCATGCCAAGCCTCCTGTTGGGGATTGGTCAGGATCTCTCAATAGTGCACACAAGACACTCCTCACTCTCTCCCACTGTTTCTAGAATTTCCTTCAAAATTCTAGAGCAGGGGGAAGTCCCAGAGAGCTGGTCTGCAGAGCCTCTCAGCTCTGACTTGAATTTGACCTCTCTGTGACTATCACCACAGTCTGCTACTCAGCCTATGACTAACAATTTAGAATCTAGGTCCCCCTAGCCATCTAGGAGGGTGCTACATATATATTCTTCTATATAATCTTTTGGCGATAGTGACTCTCTCCTCCTAAGGATAACACTCCTAAGGATAAGTACCCTCTCTTCCTCTCCCCCCTGTTCCCTTCCCTGCAGCCCCCTTTTCCGGGTGTAACTTTTATCCTGTAGATGCTTTGGCATGATGAACATATAGAGAAATTAGCAAATTTAATAATATACAGTTACTGAAAAATATTTAGTGTAGTTTTAAGGCAGTATTTCAGCCTATTAATTATTAGAAGTGGTGGCTGAATTAGTTTTCTTTTTTTAGGCTTTTTCCTTCTGTTTTCACCTGTTGATCTGACCAGTAACACACTTCCTGTATTTTGGTGCCCCCACTCTGGATGAAGGAGCTTGGGGGCACAGCAGACAGCAGGATTGTCAGTCTGGGTTGAAGAGGGTGTTAAATGTAATAGCAAATTTAAATATGCTAACACATTTAAGCCAGCCATAAGCTCACACTTTAAAATCAGTTACAGCAAACCAAACAGTTTTTCTACCTTTTGGGATAAAGGTTTTACATAAATAAATAAAAGCCAATCAAGAGGCATGGAGGAGCTCAGCTATGAGGAAAGATTAGAGAAACTGAATTTATTCTCTCTTGAGAAGAGGATATTGAGGGGGGGATATGATCAATATGTATAAATACATCAGTGGTTCATATAGTGAACTCGGTGTAGAGTTATTCACCTTGAGGTCATCACAAAGGACAAGGGAGCACTCTTCACGTCTGGAGGAAAAGAGATTTAATCTCCAAATATGGAAAGGTTTCTTCACAGTAAGAGCTGTGAAAATGTGGAATAGACTCCCTCAAGAGTTGGTTCTGGCCAGCTCAGTGGATTGCTTCAAAAAAGGATTCCTTCCTAGCTACACATAATATAATTGGATATTAACATTTATAGGGAAATTTGATCCAGGGAATATTCGATTGCCTCGCGGGGGATCAGCAGGGAATTTTTTTCCCCTGAAGGAGCAAATTAGATCATGCTTTGCTGGGTTTTTTTCCTTCCTCTGGATCAACTGTGGGTATAGGATTATAACTTTTCTTTTTTTTTGGGTTGAACTGGATGGACGTTTGTCTTTTTTTCAGCCAGACTAACTATGTAACTATGTAATTGTAAGCACCTCTGCCAGATGCCCCATCTCTGTAAACTGATACTTCTGAAAGAGAGCATGTTCCTTTTAAAAACAACAAACTTACTGGCCAGATCACCATATGAAAATAGAAGAAAGAAAGCCTGTAAAAGAAAGCAAATGCATCCATCACATCTAAGATAATAAATATTTTTTCTTTTAGGTTTAATACCACTGTAAAGTTATTATGAGTTGGACTTTCAGAAAGATTGTAGAATTCTAAGTAATATATACAGTACATACCTGATTTTTGAAACACCTCTGGGTTTCTGAAGAACCTTAACTGCAAAAATGTATTGAACCGAAACACTCTCACCATGTGATTTGTGTAGAATGCTAATGTCACAGTATATTAACCTAACAAGGGTCTAGTAATGTGTGAGAATTGGAGTTCAGAGGAAAAAACATACATTTTAGCGTATAAATTAGATATATTGTAATTGGCTGACATTCAACTTTTATTCATTCAAAATTTTAATATTTTGTATCAAATAAAATTGAGAACATTTTTTATCTATATAATTTTGTGCTATTATAGAGGTTGAGCGCTCTAAAATCCCAATATTCTATGTTTATTATTCATGAGCAGGGAAAACTAATATGTCATGAGACCACTGCAAACACAGAAGAGGTAATCATATTATCAAGGAGGGAAATTATTATTATTATTATACAGGATTTATATAGCGCCACCAGTTTGCTCAGTGCTTTACAATATAACAGGAGACAATACAGCAACAATACAGTTCAATACAAGAGGGAGCTTACAATCTAAGAGAATTTGTGTTCCTATGGCCCCTTATAGTGTTACTACACACCCAGGACCCTGCATTCACTATATCTGCCTCCCACAGTACACGGAAATGCAATTATTTTAGTAAATATAAACTGCTAAATACCTTTTCTTATCAGCAGTTAGAGCAGTCTTGGGGCTTCTATCAGTGTTCAGCAAAGTACTGGGGTAAAGATTGTAGGAGTTTTCATTCTCTCCTGATTGTCCTATAAGACTGCATAACACCTGACACTCTGTCTGGACAGCTCAGATTGGTTCTGTGCTGATCACATGCACTCTCCCAAGAAAAAAAGAAAAAAACCCACCACTCCAAACTGAGCATGTGCAGCTTGCCCCAAGGCTTTGTTCTATCAGCAAATGGATTGGGGACAGTAAAGGAAGGAGAGAATCAATATTACATACCCTGGGAATAAACTGTGTTAGAGGGAAAAAAACCTTTCCATATGATATCAAGCATTTGCAACCATTTCTAACCTTGTTTTGAGGCGAAGGATGAAATATTTTCTAGCATTAAAGTATTCTTTTATTGGTTTCTTTTGTATATGAAAGGAAGGCAGTCCTTTAATTTCTCAAGAAACTGCCAATCTCAGCTGTATGCAGTACCTGCTCCTAGTACTGGCAAATCTGAGTCACCTGTAGGATGCACCTGCCTATAACTGCTCTAAGGCTAGGTTCACATCTGTGCATTTTGCGTTTGATCCATTTCGGCAGTGCTTTTTGTGGTGCATTTTGTGTTTTTGCACATTTTTTTTTTGACGCATTTTGCTTTTTTCCTTTGTTGCTTGGCAGATTAAAAAGCTTCAAAATCGCATCAAAAATGCACTACATGCTCTTCTGCAGTGCCTCCATTGAAGTCTATACTAAAACAACGTTTTGCATTTAAAAAGTCCCTGACCCTTTACAAAAAATGCACCAGGTGAAAATGCAGAGATGTGAACCTGTCCCATAGAAAATCATGTTAAATAGACTGCTGTGCGTTTCCGCAAAACGTTGCAGAAAACGCATGGGTGTGTCCCTAGACTTAGAGTGTATTAGAAATTGATTATTCTGTGTACAGGAATAGATTGCTGATCTGTTAATATACATCATATAATTCACTACAGCCTGTCAATTGACCAGGGGACTAAAAATGGATTCTCCCCTTCCCCTTTGACCATTACCTCCTCCCTTTTACTTTAAGTAAGCACTCGGACAACAAGCTGGAGTTAATGGCTAAAACAGCCTTTTATTACAACAAATCAATAAATAACATTTGTAAATAATGTAAACACAGTATAAGTGGAGCATCAAGGTCCCAGTAGGCATCGATAAACAAAACTACCTGCATCCTACTTAAAATAGGCCTCCATCGCAACAACATTGACTCAGAGACAACCACCGCAGATACCAGCAACAGAAAAACTGGGAGCCGTACCTCAGATGGGTCCTTACAAAGTACCTTTATGTGCCCACAGTAACCTACAAGAACTTTGCACCCCACCGGCTGCCCGTCAGCACCAACCAACCAACACAACCACAACCCAAAAAAGGCCAATAAACAACGAGAGGGAGGGGAGGAAGTTGTCTTTTGCCAATTCTCCTTCTGACTGAAGACCCCTCCCACACCCTGTCCTAACCACCCCCTATGGCTCCACCCACTCCTATCTTAACCACTTAGCACTCCCGGTCCTATTTCTTGTCAACTTAGATGACTCCCCTCTCTCCCCCCCTTTAACCCCTGTCATGCCGGCCCTCCGTCCATGTCTTTTTCTTTCCTTTACTCCAGGCCTCCATTTACTCACAGCAAATAATACAGTGGACAGACAGTCTCAGTTTATACATGTATATTCTTCCTATTGTTATGCTCTTAATCTGTACCATAGATTTACCTTCACCTACACTTACCTTCACCTGTTTGGATTTAACATTAAATCCCAACTACATTTGAAACATACAGGGGTTGGACAAAAACATGGAAACACTACATGATTTTCAGGTGTGAAAGTGACAACATGTTTTGTGTTGAAAGCAGAAGTGATTTAACATTCTTTTGTTTCCGCTGTGTGATGAGACACCTAGCTAACAGGTGGGAAGCCTAACTTTCATCATTCACTGCGTGCACTGCAAGTAGTACAGAGTCATGTCAGAGCTTACTGAGCAGAGAGGGCAAATTGTTGGTGCCCCGCTTAGCTGGTGCCTCTGTGACTGAAGTTGACAAATTATTTTGTATCAATGGCTATGGCGGCATATACTGTACAGTTTCCAGGAAAACGTCTGATAAGCATATGCGCGGTCAACATGGTCAACTGACCAAAAGAGACAAAAGGACATTGAACAGGATTGTGACCTGGAATAACAAAACAACTGCTGCAAAAGTGACTGCAGAGCTCAATCTCAGTCTTCACGGGACTTTTGCTTAACCTTTCATACTGTACCTCGCTACAAGACAAATAAATCGCCAACTTCAGTCACAGAGGCACCAGCTAAGCGGCACCAACAATTTTCCTTGTTTGAAGCTCAGTAAGCTCTGATATGACTCCATATTACTAGCAGCACACGCAGTGAATGATGAAAGTGAGGCTTCCCACCTGTTAGCTAGGTGTCTCATCACACAGCAGAAGAAAAAGAGTGCTAATCACTTCCACTTTAAACGCAAAATATGAGGTCACTTTCACACCTGCTAATCATGTAGTGTTTCTATTTTGTTGCCTAACTCCTGTATTTTTATGTTTTAGATCTAGAGGAAAATAATTGGAGTTGCCAGGTTTTTATTGCCATCTGTGTCCCTGTTGTGAATATTTTACTTCACGTCTTTCTCATCATATAAATGCCTTGAGGCCCCTTGGCTTTTTCCTCCCTACTTTTTGCTTATAGGGAATAATCAGTGTTTGCATATGATTATATCACACTTATTTTTTGAGCTCTAGATCCATTTTCATGTGTTTACCTGGCAAATTTTACCAGTCTTGCTTTCTATACTTTGTTCTCCCTCCAAAAAGGTGGTTTTCAGTTCAAGAGAGACAGTTCAAAAGAAAACAGTTTCTAAGCTACGCTCTCTCTAGGAAACTATAAAACTCTTTGATGGCAGTATCATGGCACTGCCTGTACTTAATGTATTTTTGTAATATAAAGGGTTTAAAAAAAAGTAAAAAAATTGAAAACATCAGCTTTAAACCCCAGATAAACTATATCCAAAGCCAATACAGTTCTCTTTCAGTTTTCAAAGACCCCATGAAAAAAAAATTAAAGCAACAGAAACATATTCTGACCATATGGTAGTATAAAAAAATGTATAGTTCAAGATCTATGTTACAATAATTATGTATATAAGGTATATTTGTTGTAACACTTGTTCTGTTTTAGTTCAGATCTGAGTAAAAATAATCTGTAGAGTGTGGATTAAATTTAAATCCTTATTACATAATTAGAGAAAATGAAAGTTTCTTAAACCAAGAAGTCCAGATGTTTAAAGTTGTTGCGATCTCCTTTTATCTTCCAATGAATTTCCTCCACACTAATTGCTTTCTATTTATAACAACCATTCTCTGACTGCAACCGCTTTTGTTGATCTCTAAAGGCTTTGATGTGTTTAAACCGTGAGTGCGAAGTTAACATGTGCTAAGTTTGTATGATCTTTAATCTGCAGGATATTTAGAAAGATTAGCTTTAGTGATGGTACTATAAAAAAGGATATTATTTTTTGACAATGATACCAGATATGAGTAAACATGTCTTCAGCTTTACAGCATTTCTGTCATCATTTTGGGTGCTGTTTTACCTAATATTTAGGCCCCTTTAACACAGGCGGTAAAATTTCAGCTTTTAGCTGCGGTTAGGGGAACTTAATTACCGCAGCTAAATGCAGACAATGCATCCCTATGGCTCCATTCACACACTGCGTTTGGCAACGGTTTCATAACATACGGTTTTATGCGTTTAGGAAAAATAAAGTTGACAGCATTCAGGAGCGATGTACTGTAGCTATCTGTATATAAACGCAGTTCATCGCAGTACAAAGAAAACATAAGTAAACAGTTGCTATGGAAAAGGCAAGAATTTACTACCGCAGCTAAACACAGCCGCCTGTAAAAGCACATAAATGCAGATAATGTATAAACACAAGGGATCTCTGTGCCAGGAGTGTTGGAATTTCAAAATAAAAACACATGCATTTACAAGAGGCAGAACAACCACCCGTGTGAAAAAGGCTTTATAGAAGAGTAATATTGTCAATGCAAATAAGGGAATACATAGACAAATGAGAGACAGGGCAGAAGAAAGACCAAGTGGTCCATTGAGTCTGCCCCATTTTTTTCTTTATTTATATATACATACTTAAATTGTTACTAAAACCCAGGACCCTGCATTCACTATATCTGGTCTCCTACAGTACACAGGACATGAAAGTGCAATTATTTTAGTAAATATAAACTGCTAAATACCTTTTCTCATCAGCAGTTAGAGCAGTCTTGTGACTTCTATCAGTGTTCAGCAGAGCACTGGTTATAGCTTGCAAGAGAAATTTTCATTCTGCTCTAAAAAGATGCAGAACCCCTGACCTCTGACCCCTGTTGATCACATGCACTCTCTCAAGAAAAAAAAACCTCTTTAGCAATATACACCAAATTGAGCATGTGCCTCCACAGGATATGTCTTATCAGGAGATGAGAGGGGGACACTGGAAGAAGGGGAGGATCAGGAGTCAGGATCAAACAGCCTTTTTACACAGTGCAGAGGATTAACCCCTTATGTTCCACAGTGAGTATAACAAGCATACTTTACTGCATATACAGACTGATTTTACTGTTGTGGGTTTAGTAACACTTTAATCAAGTTCACTAAGCCTCAGTTCACATTGCTGCGACCCCAGATTTGTGCAACTCCCAGTGAAACTTTGCATTGCGCCTTGATTGCAACTTGAGTGTGACTTCAATGCAAGATTGTTATTTTGCAGTTTTGGCTTTGGCCAATTATAACAATACAGAGTGTGACACACATTATTGAACTTACAAAACCCTTTGAAGTCCCAGGCAAAGTCATAAAGATAAGAAAAAGAAATGACTTCCTTGTGACATTTGTGATTTTAACATTGCAGTAAATGGCACAGTGTATCCAGATTTGTGTTTAAAATCCATAAGAGTAATGCTGTTAATCGCTTGCTGCCCGCCCACTTACAATGTACTGCGGACGGGCGGCAGCTACAGAAAAAGCGGTGTACGGGTACGCTCTGGCTGTGCTAGCAAAGGGGGGTTACCTACCTGTGACTGCAATGTCCTCTGGTGAACGGGAGCCGGTGATCACTACATTGTTAGCAAAGCTGTTATGAATAAATCTTATTCATAACAGCTCTGCTTCTCTTCCTGATGAGCTGTGATTAGCTCACAGCTCTTACATGGTACATGAGGTCAATCACAGCATCCTGCACCATGTGATCAACTCTAGCCAATCACAAATCACTATTGTTTTGAACTTTCATGAACTTAACCCATTCATAAAAGCAAGCTTTGCATTGCAGGAGCAATAATCTTTATTGCTCCTGCAAAGAAAAGTGTAAAAAAAAAAAATCCCTGATCACCTCCCCAGAGTAGTTCTATGGTAACATGCACTACTCCGATAAAAGTACTTAAAAAAAAAAATAATAATAAATGTTAAAAAAATACTTTATTAAGAATTTAAAAAAATATATATATAACTTGCCCGCAATGTGCGGGTGAGCGGTGGGTTTGGGCAAAGAGAAGTACCCTTACATCGCTTTCTATTATGGGGTGTGCCTGCACCTCCCCCCCCCCCCTCCCCGGGTCCAGGTCCAGGGAGAGAAGAGAGAGCACCACACTGTATGTAAAAGCACCACATTTTACACACACACACTTTAGATTAGCACATTTAACCCTTTGATTGCCCTATTAATCCTTTGATCACACCGTCACCCAGCCAGTGCAATTAGTACAATGTCAGTATATAGAATTTTTCACTAATCACTGTATTACTGCCACTAGCGACATCAGATAGCTTCAGGGTCTGTAAACGCCCCTCCCAACCAGGGTCAGCTAGCGTTAGATCGCTCGCACACTATCGCACTCACGCTATAGGTCGCTGACAGGGGCAGACTGACCATTTGGAAACTCGGGCACTGCCTGAGGGCCCGGGGTTAGTAGGGGGCCCCATGAGATGCCCCTGGTACTTTTTTCATAGGCTTTTTTGAGTTTGGGCAAAGACACAGGGGCCCCATGATCCCCTATTGCCCGGGGGCCCCATGAGTTGTCAGTGATCGCTGATCACCGCCATTACTAGTATAGTGTTTGCACGGATCAATATATTGATCACAAACAGAACTATATTAGTGCCTCCTTTGTATAGTGTCCCCAAAAATGCAGTGTTAGCAGGATCAGCCCCATTCGCTGCCAGCACTAGCATTAGCCGCTCTGCTGTTTTTCACAGAAGATTTGTATCAATTGATTGTGGGCCAAAGCAATTTATATGCACAACAATACATTACTGCCCACCCAAATTCAGCTCTTGCCTGACAATTCACATGGAAACCTATCACGGTTTCTGAATTTAAAACTTTTTTGGGTCTAACCCTCAACATGGGCATTACAAAAAATAATCAGTTGCAGTCATATTGGTCCTCAGACCCGAATCATCATATGCCCATGTTCTTTGCTGTTACATATACTGTATGCCCAACATGGACCAGCAACATACTGGTACGTCGCTGGACTTTGAGTGGTTATACCAGGATGATGCCTGCAGCTACAGGCATCATCCTGGTAATGTTTTTGTTCAGCTGGCAGTCAGCTTTTACATAAAAGCAATCCTAATGGCTAAATAGCTGCTGGATCATCTTTACAAGCAGCAGGAAGGGATTAACCCCCCCCCCCCCCCAATCCGCCTTCCACAGTTTTCATGGGCTCTCCCGTCCCACCAGGGAATCCGAGAACGCAGACAGCAGTTCCATCAGCTGACGATAGTGCTGATCGGAGACCAATCATCTCTATGGTCTAAGAAACTGGAAGCTACGAGCATTTCATCATTTCAGTTTCACAGGATGTTAAGAACGCCATTTTTAAACTTGGAAAGCATCTGATGATACTGATCTTGGTTTGATCAGATGCTTTAAGAGGAGAGATCTAGAGTCTAACAGACCCCAGATTTCTCAGAAAAGACTACTGTAATTGCCTATTGCTATTACAGGGGATATTTACATTCCCTGTGATAACAACAAAAGTGATAAAAAAATAAAGGGACAGTGTAAAAATTAAAAGAAAAATCAAAATGAAAAATTAGCAGAAAAAAAATCACACACGCCCCGCCTCCTTCCCGTGCTTACGCGGAAAGGCGAACGTAAGTGTTGGTCCCGTGTTGGTATGCAAACAGAGATTGCACCATGCATGTGAGGTGTCACCGCGAACGGCAGATTGAGGGCAGTAATTCTAGCACTAGACCTTCAGTGTAAATATAAAGTGAAGACCTGTAAAGGCTTTTAAAGCGTGGCCTATCGATAAAAATGTACGTAGTTTGTCGCCATTGCATGGACGTGCACTGTTTTAAAGCATGTCATGTTTGGTATCTAACTACTCGGCGTAACATCATCTTTTATTTTTTATCAAACAGTTAGGCAATATATTGTGTTGTTGTGCATTAAGATTAAAAAAAGTGTATTTAAAATAAAAAAAAGTAGCATTTAAAAAATTGCTGCACAAATACTATGTGACATAAAAAATTGCAACACCCACCATTTTATTCTGTAGGACCATTGCTTTAAACAATATATATCATGTTTTGGGGTTAAAAGTAATTTTCTAGCAAAAAAAAAAATCGATTTCATGTATACAAAAAGTGTCACAAAAAAAGGCTTGTTCTCCAGGTGGTTAGAAGAATGGGTGATGTGTGACATACACTTCTAATGTTGGCCCTGAAATGCCAGGATAGTAGAAGAACCCCCCAAATGACACCTTTTTTGAAAGTAGACACATTTTGCTGATCTCATTTGTTGCCACAAGTTTTTGGAAAATGAAGAAAGAAAACAAATATGTATTTTTTTTGTTTTCTTTTTCTTTTTCAAAACCCTGTGACTCACCATGTCTGTTATCAAATTGGTTGGGGTGTTTACTTTCCAAAAAGGGGTCATGGGGGGGGGGGTTATACTATTCTGGCATTTAGGGCCTTTGAAACTGTGATTGGTAGTAAGAAAGTGATATGGGGAAATGTGCCCTTTAAGAGCCTGAAGGTAATGATTGGATTTTGGGGGCCTGTATGTAGCTAGGCTGCCAAAAAGTCTCTCACATGTGGTATTCACATACTTGGGAGAAGTAGCAGAATGGGTTTTAGGGTTTTATTCCACATATAGCAGAAAATATCTTTTTTTTTCAAAATTTTCAGTCTTTTTTCATTTATATCACAAAAAATAAAAAACCCAGTGGTGATAAAATACCACCAAAAGAAAGCTTTATTTGTGTTAAAAAAAAAAGGATATACACTTTGTTTGGGTGCAGCGCTGCATGAACATTACCAGTTGAAATAGCGCAGTGCTGAATAGCAAAAAATAAGCTGGTCAGAAAGGAGGGGTAAATCTTAAAATGTATTGGATTCTTTTGTATTTGTATTATGCTTAACCTAAGATCTATAAAATTAGTAAATAATTTTATTACCTGGGGTATCTTAACCGCTTGCCGCCCTGCCACTGTGTATATACGTGTGCAGGGCGGCAGTGGAGCGCAAAACCACGTTTAAAAACGGGTTCCGCGCTCCCGACACTTTCGCCGGCAGGGGGCGCGCACGCGCGCTCCCGCCGACCCGCGGGTGACACTATTTGATCCAGGAGGGATCAATCATTAGATTTCAGCCAGTGATTTCTGGCTGAAATCACATGATCGGTCCCTGTCCTATCCTGTCCTGTGTTGACATACACAGGGCAGGATATGATGTCATTCTTCTCTGCCTGGACACATTCCGTTCCAGACAGAGAAGAAGACATCCAAAAAGTGAGTACACAAGCACTACACTACAGTTAGAACACTCTAGGACACATTTAACCCCCTGATCGCCCCCCCCCCTCCAGTTAACCCTTCACTGCCCTGTCACCAGTGTTACTGATCAGTGAAGCGATTTTTACTGATCAGTGTCGCTGGCGACTTCCGATAGAGTTAGCTCCCCTCCCAGATAGCGCCAGATTGCCCGCCAGTACACCAGTAATCCCGTTTAACCCCTTGATTGCCCCCCTTCAGTTAACCCCTTCACTGCCCTGTCACCCAGTGTCACTGATCAGTGAACCAATTTTTACTGATCACTGTATCAGTGTCGCTGGCGACTTCCGATAGAGTTAGCGCCCCTCCCAGATAGCGCCAGTTTGCCCGCCAGTACACCAGTAATCCGTTTAACCCCTTGATCGCCCCCCCCCCTCCAGTTAACCCCTTCACTGCCCTGTCACCCAGTGTCACTGATCAGTGAACCAATTTTTACAGATCACTGTATCAGTGTCGCTGGCGACTTCCGATAGAGTTAGCGCCCCTCCCAGATAGCGCCAGATTGCCCACTA